AGCTGGCAGAGGTGGTTTGGGGAGGCTGGAGGTGGTCTCAGGGACCTCAGAGATGGGTTGGAGAACATCAGAGGTGCTCTGGGGAGCTTGAAGAGGGTTTTGGGGGCCTCAAAGTTGGCTTTAGGGACCTCAGAGATGCATTGGAGGACATCAAAGGTGGTTTGGGGACCTCAAGGTTGGCTTTAGGGACGTTGAGATGAGTTGGAGGACATCAAAAGCAGTTTGGGGACCTTGAAGATGGGCTTGGGGACCTCAAGGTTGGCTTTAGGGATGTCAGAGATGAGTTGGGATGACAGCAAAGGAGGTTTGGGGACACTGAAGATGGTCTTGGTGGTCTCAAGTATAGTTTTAGGGACCTTAAAAATGTATTGGAGAACATCAAAGGTGGTTTGGAGACCTTGGAGATGGTCTTGGGGACCTCAGAGATGTGCTGGAGAACTTCAGTGGTGATTTGGGGACATTGAAGATGGTCTTAAGGACCTCAAAGGTGGCTTTAGGGACCTCAGAGATGCATTAGAGGACATCAGCAGCAATATGGGGACCTTGAAGATGGTCCTGGGCACCTGAGAGATGTATTGGGGGACATCAAAGGTGGTTTGGGGACCTCAGGGGTGGCTGTAGGGACATCAGAGATGTGTTGGATAACACCTAAAGTGGTTTGCAGACCTTGAAGATGGTCTGAGTGATCTCAAGAATGGTTTTATGGACCTCAGAGATGCATCAGAGGACATGAAAAGTGGTTTGGGGACCTTGATGATGGACTTGAAGACTTCAAGAGTAGCTTTGGGGACCTCAGAAATGTGTTGAAGAATATCAGCAGTGGTTTGGGGACCTTGAAGATAGTCTTGGGGACCTCAAGGGCAGCTTCAGAGACCTCAGATATGCATTGGAGACCACCAAAGATGGTTTGGGGACCTCAAAGATGGTTTTGAGGACCTCAGAAATGTGCTGAAGACCAACAGGGGTGGTTTGGGGACCTTGATGATGGCCCTGGTGACCCTAAGGGTGGCTCTGGGGACCTCAGAAACATGCTGGAGAACATCAAAGGTGATTTGGGGACCTTGAAAATCATTTGGGGGACCTCAAGAGATGCACTGGGAGACTCAAGTGTGGTTTGGGGACGCCGAAGATGGTCTTAGGGAACTCAACAGTAGCTCTGGGGACCTCAGGGCCAGCTTGGAGACCTCATGGACTCCCAGAAGGATATTCCACCATGGCCTGGACACCGTTTTTCCTGAAGATCACAATCCTCTGCACGGGACCACAAGGGTTGCAGATGGTGTAGAGCACATCCTGAGGGCAAGAGAACCACGAAAACATCAAGAACCCCCCAAAAAAAAACCCCATTAACCCTCCCCCAACCCACCACCCACCGTGGTGATGGAGTAGATGGGGTTGAGGATGGTGAAGAGCAGGACGTTGTTGACGCCCCTGGAGTCATCCGTGTCCCCAGGGCGGGAGATCTTCTGGCTGGTGGAGTAGTTGACGAAGGCGGGGTGCCCGGCGATGTAGATCTGGTTGTCGGCGGCGTAGTTGACGGCGCTGCAGGCGCTCAGGATGTCCTTGAACTCCACCAGGGCTTGTCTCTTCTTGGGCATCACCACGGCGTAGCTGGGAGAGAGGAGACGTGGTGGGATCACCGAGGAGACGACGCCAGAGTGAGCGCCGGGCTGGTGGAGTAGTTGACGAAGGCGGGGTGCCCGGCGATGTAGATCTGGTTGTCGGCGGCGTAGTTGACGGCGCTGCAGGCGCTCAGGATGTCCTTGAACTCCACCAGGGCTTGTCTCTTCTTGGGCATCACCACGGCGTAGCTGGGAGAGAGGAGACGTGGTGGGATCACCGAGGAGACGACGCCAGAGTGAGCGCCGGTGAGGGCGTCGTGACCCCACCACCACGATGGTCATCGGGATCCCACCACCATCATCACCACAGAGCCACCACCATGATGGTCATCGGGATCCCACCACCATCACCACCACAGAGCCACCACCATTGAGGTCATCATGATCCCACCACCATCAGGGTCATCGGGATCACACCACC